TTGACTCTCCTGCAATGGGCTCTGCGTGCGATGATGTCTGCGCAGCTGCTGTCATCGTTTTTGTTTCCCTGGAATCGATGTCCACAAGCGATGTGCTACAGATACATATATGACCAGGAAAACGCTGTTCCTCGGAGATACAAATTTCAGAAGGACCGCTCGACATCAAGGCAAACGGCTCGCTGCCGTCATCAGGAACGTAGAGGCCTATGTTCTGCTTCCGGGGAGCGTTCGTTCTCGGTCAGTCCTTCTGCGTCCGAAAACCCATTAGATTTACTGGGCAAGCATCGCACTGCAAGTGCGTGCCGCCTGCCACACGAATCACTATGACAAGGCACGCAAACGCATACCAGCGTTACGTGTTGCCTCGAAACTGAAAGACCTGCTACGGGAGCAATGGTAACTAACTCGGGCGCGCTTACCGACAGGTGGCGCTTGGCCCACAATTGAAGTTAGGGGGTCAGCCACTGCAGCATCGGTGTGAGGGGCGAGCTTTGGGTTGCCCATTTCAAGATGTGGGCGGGGTTCAGACTCCGTGCTCTGCACTCCGGGAAGAGCTCCTTGACACGGAAGGTCTTGTCGGAGACGTCAATGAAGCCCATCTTTGTCCAGAAGCCATAAGCATCCGACAAGGACCGAAGCACCACGGCTTCGAAGCCCTCATCTGATGCCCATGCTATGACTTCCTGCGGATGTACCGAGAACATGATGATGTTGGATTTTGGTTGTTGCTCTTTCTCTTTGCATATTTCACGTTCTCTCGCTCAGTGCTTGTTTTGCGGCTGGGCCTCAATCCGAAAGATTCCTGGGATACCACGAAGAACTGTTGGATGGGAGCCTGCGGGTTAGGCATATGCTGTTCAAAAGGGTCAAAGTCGCAACGAAGCAATATGAGACCAATATATCAAACAACTCAAGGCAGTTGCAGATGCAGTCCTCGACCAAAGCTCGCCCGCAGCCCGATGATTGGAGGCTGCCGAGCTCCTTTATCTCGACCCAATAGTGCCTGGGAGGGAGGAGCAAGGCTGCACCGCCTGGGGCAGCTCCCAACATCGCCACGAAATGCGCGTTGGCCCTGGGAAAGACTAGCGACAGCAAGTGCTGGGCTTGTCGCTGCAATCAGTCTCGCTCTTTAGAGAGACACGGGGGTCGAGTTCAACAAAAGCCCAGCCCTACACTCAACCAGTGCTGACTTTTCGCGACAAACTAGCTGCATTGCGGAACAGGCTTTTTCACACCGAAACTAGACACCGTGTTCACTACTATCATGATACAAGTCTGCTAACGCAGTCTCGTCTGGCAGTGACGCCCAACGAAAGCGAATCAGCCCGTGTGAAACTACTTGAACAAAAAAACAATTAGAAAGTCAGGTAAAAGCAGGATTAGTAGAGCGTGTTGAACCAAAAAAGGTGACACGCACGGTGTTCGTAGGATGCCCTATAAAGCCGCATGTCTTCCCATGCTGTTGGCGCTCAGGCGCATGTACTGTTATGGGCCAAAGCTCAAACAACAGAAAGTGTTGCTTTATCGGCTTGTGCGTGTTTTCCGAGCCGGGGCAAGTGGTGGCACTGTGTCTCAATTAAGCACCATTCCGAGGTTCGAATCCGGAACACGTGCCAATGCCAACGCTACGTCATGCTACATTCGCGAACGCGGCTAGTCGCGGTATTCCAAACCTCTTGTTACACAGCCTTCGTCCGCGGCCTCTCGCTTCAAAGGTTTGGCGCAACTTTGCCGCTCGTGTTTCTTCTGAGGATCTGTTAACTGCAGGAAGGTCTGTCGCCAGCAGGAGGCCACTGATACAATGGATTACTGCACCGATGCCAGCGGCGTTGCAAACCCAAACTTTTACGGGCGCGCATGTGCCATAGGCTTGCATGGAGATGTCCACTGCAATCCGTGGTATGGGCTCTTAGCATGTCCCACTCGAGTACTGGACATCTTTCCCAGCGCTTCCCAAGACCATCGTTTTCGGGATTTGGGCCTGGGAATTTACAAAAGCGCCTACCAGAAAACGGAACCATAGCTAGCAGAGCTTGTGTCGCAGCTTTTTGGAATGTCACCAAGACGTAGTTGATGCAAAATCAGGTATCCGATACATTTGAAGCAAGACAGGAAATTTGGAGTGTTGACTCAACTGCTTTGTTCGTCGGGTTTCGGCCCGCATCAATCTTGGCAAATCTCAACCCACATCCCATTTTGCGAAACTGAAAACTAATCAACGCTCCAAATGTCCGAAGCAAGCAGATATTCTAGTGGTGTTGGTGAGTTATGTTAAAAGTCAGTGGCGCTTCAACTTGCATTGAGAATCGAGAACCTTCCACCAATGGAACAATTGCATGTGTTTCGCGGGGGGTTCATCCAGAATTTGGGGACTCACGGTGCTTGCAACCAGGGCCAAGTGTAGTTGTGCTGCGGCAGCAACTCAAATTAGGAGGTTGCTTGCGCAACCTGTACAAACTTGGCTTCAAGCGGCTCACACATTACATTGCCATGCAAAGCCTTTCGTCACGCGTGCAGCATTTTTCGTCTGGGCATAACGGTTCCAAGGGGGGTCGTAACGGTTCCACCACTTGTTGCCATAGATTGTATGTTCCGGGGCGCGCTTGGCCTATTCACACACAAGCGCGCCACAACACCAGTTGCATGACTGTTCTCCTCATGCAAAACATGTCATGAACCAGGTTGCACTTCCAACGGGCGCAAGGGTTCATCTGGGTTTGGGGCTCTGCATCGCGAGGTGCACTGCAGTTGCAATAATCAGAATATGCGCTTTCATTTGCGGGTTTCGGGCTGATCACGTGGAGGGTTCCAAATCTCCGAATGTTTCCGAATGCTTGAGGAACTTGGGGTCTCGTACTGTTATGGGACGTGGGATCCCGCATATGTACATGCATGCATGCATGTACATGTGGGTATAATATCATACAAGCAGAATCGCATAAAAAGGTGACTACAATGCACAAGTAGTATAACGCATAAGAACTGTAGCATATTGAAAATAATAGAATTCAACATGCAATGATTTGCTTCGGTATGACATGACGTGTATGATAATTTGCTTTTGGGTGTTGTCTATTTTTTGTTGCACAAACTCACATACGTACATATATATATATATACATACATACACATATGCATACATGCATACAAACATACATATGTGTATATATATACACATATATATATATATATATCATAGGGAATCCTATTTTCTGCGAATCCCACAAGGCTTTCGACGAATAGCTGATTAACTGAAGCTCGACTACCGGATCCTCAGTGGCAGAAATATGTTTCAGGCAGGCATGTTAAGTAGTGCGCCGAACAGTAGCATGCATACACCACAGTTTTCTTCGGACAACATCACTTCTGCTTCATAGTCGGTCCCGAGACGAAAGATGGAAGTGGCTCCCGGAACTAGCGCTTTAATTTCCGCTGACCTGTATTTCTTCGGTTACTATTAAGGTTCGCCATGTATTAAAAGAGGATTACCGGAAGTGTTGGAAATGAGAACCAGATCGATTCTGCGTACGGCCGCCCCGCTCATGAAGAAATGCTGACTGACAATGCTGACAGTCCATGCTCTCATCGGGGTTTGATTCTGCATGGCACTCGACGATACTTTTGCGATGATGAACGATGATGAGCACGAAACGGTGCCCTTCCACAGCTAAGTGCGCCTTCCATGCATCATGCACAAGTTGCACTAACAAGAAGGCCAAGATTCTAAGAAGTGTGCATCCAAGCAACTGCAGTGGCAGGATCTCTTGAGGGGAGATGCTGCAGCCGTCTGGCTTCCCCAGGATGCGCCCCCTCATCAGGCACAGCGCATCCTGCAGCGTGCCCGTTGGCAGCGCCGCCCCGGACACAACGCGCAGCTCCCTTAGCTGCAATTGCTGCGCTATGACAGCTATGATCGGCAGGTTGCTTTGACTGCTCGGGGTTTCCCTCAAGCCCTCCCCGGGCCTCCTTTCCTTTCCCTTCCCCCACACCGCTAACACCACCTCCAACAAAAGGCTGGCATTGAAACAGAAAGTAAAGCACCATCAGATCATGTCATGAGGGGGGTGGCACAGGAGCACCGCACATGGTGCAGTTGATGGCTTAATCAGGGCGTGTGGTTGGCAGGGCGTGATCAAGAGCGATCAGGTAATTGGGGGAGGGGTTGGTTTCGGCGCTCACACTCGGACACAGGCGAGCTGAAACAAACCTTGACAGACAAGCCTGTGTCGTACAGCCCACTGAGAATATATGATCCCGGTTCGGCCGGCCCCGGCCCCTCGCCCCCCTCCCCCCCGTGTGGTGTGGTGTGGTTGTGGGTTGCTTCCCCCTCCCTGTGGTGTGGTTCGGGAGTGGGTCTGCTTAGGCTGGTTACCCCACCCCCCCCCATGGTGTGGTGTGGTTTGGGTTTCCTGCGTGGGTCTGCTTGGCGTGCCAGCCCTCGTGTGGAAAAAGCTTGCACAGTCACACACAGATTCGGCTTGGGGAGCGTGGGGGGCGAGGATACCATTTGGGGTGGGGGTCGGTGAACCGAGAACCGGGATCACATATAATGTGACCTGTAATCAGGTTCAGGCTGTCTCACGCACAAAGATCCAGTGGACTTAGATGTGGGTTGGTTTAGTGCCATCAGGCACCATCGTTTGATGAAGGGCCGGGTTAAGAAATGGCGTGGCGTGCTCAGCCGCCTCCGCCTGATGAGGAGGCGAGATTTAGGAAATGCACACCACATGAACAATGCTTCCGCGACGGGTTGCACAACGTGGGTTTCACAGCGGTTGCCTTTTTTTGGGCATGTTGAAAACCAAGTCGCAACATATCGCATGATGGGTGAGCAGAGTCTGCACCGCGGCTTGATACGCATGGCCTCGCAACATCGACATCTTTGATGAATCCTACAATGAGGCTTTCACCAAGCTGTCCTGCAAAAGGCCTGGGCCTTGAGAGTACAGTGCCACACAGAAATGGGGAATGATGCACTCCTCCATGCGACACTGATCCTAGCTGCCGGGGCACGACGGAATCACCAGCTCGATGGACCTCCGCTGACAGCCCCGGACCCACACAAGGCCAGCAAAGAAGCTCAAGGTGATACCTGCAGGGCAAGCGTCGGCCAAGGGTCCCCGTGACTCACGTCAACCAGCTCATTCTTTGTGAGGAACGCCTGGCATGCAATCAGCACCTGCAAAAGCACTACCTGCTGCAACGAGGAGAGGAGAGTGTCATGCAGGCAACGACAGCCTTGGGCACTCTCACCCGCGAAGACTCCTCCTTTGACACCTCTGAAATATCCTTTCAAGCAGCGAGTTTGTCGAAGCAGGCATTTGGCCCATCACTCTGCTTCTGTCCTCGGGAGGCTGCTGCCCATCAGAAGCGCCAGTGCTCGGAGGAGACATGCCGCTGTCCCTGAGCGATTCGACTTGCAAGGCTGAGCATAGCCGCTGACTCCAAATGCAAAATCAGCCAGCCGAGAAGCTCATCACATGTAGCATCCGCCGCCTTTCTGGCCAAACGCCTTGGTCTATGCAGTCCTTGCCAAGAACGGAGACGAGCAAGAACAACCTCCCGTCAAAACCTGCGAGCCTTTGACAAAAGTAACTACAATGCAGAGAGTTTTCAACGTCTTTATTTGGAGAAAAGATTCAGGTCGTCATCAGTGCGAAAGTGACACAAAACGAACGAGCTGCCCTCAGTGCACAGTATGTATATAGCTACATCTGCTAGAAGCACAAAAGAGAACCATATCTCGGCGGCGTCTACATAATTGAGAATGCTTGCCGACAAGTTGCATCTTGTAGTCGAGAATGCACCACTTGGCCTCATGAAGCGCCTGCTCCTGCATGTGGAGCCTGGAGGGCCAGAGGTTGTATGAGGATCCGAGACATGGAGAACAAAACAGCGACGAGCTTCGCCTGAAGGCCGGCCCTAAACTTTTCAAGCTTCCAACCGATGCTCTTGGAACCTTCCATGTGTCGAAACATGCTCCTAGCAGAACCACTCTCTCTTCCTTGCATCAGGAATCTTGCGCGGCCGTAACCGAGGCAAGTGCAATTGAGAAGCGTTTTACGCAGCTTCTGGGAGTCACTCCAGAGTGCATGGCCGTGGCTGCGAAGTTTGCTGCACCTGACTGCCCCGTTGCAAATCATGCCATGCAACACCTGCTTTTCCATGGAACAGAACCCACATGCATGCAGGTCTTGCAGGCGTGCTAATTTACAGCTGGACGACTCGTTAAGTAGCATCGTCTTCTCGTTGGTTAACTCGCTGATCTGTTCGACCAGATTCCAATACGTTGGCAAGCTCCACCTGAGTCTCTTGAGTCTCTTGCATGTAGTTCTGTGTACATGTGACATGAACTGGGTTGGAACCTGTCTTTTTAGCTGAGTCTCTGCCAGTGCGAATCCCAATCACCAAAGTCACCAAGACTGGGTCCCGGCATAGTATGCGGCCACGACTCGGTGGCCGCCAAAGCGTCAGTCCATGGTCGCTGCGACATAATGTCAGCTTCGCACAAGATTTGAAGAAAGCTGATGGCCGCATGCACATGTATCAAATGCTTGTGACAATGGGACTTTTTGTCACAGCCTTCAGAGGGGGATGGGCATCCTGGCTTCGCGGACTTTTGGTTTCCAAAGCCCCTCTTACGTCCTGAGACAACACTTATTCAGCCTGCATACAGCTACCGCAATCGTTGTACGCATGAATTTCCAAACTAGGACCACTAGGAGTCCCGTTTTGCGGCAAAAGCAGAATGCGGTTTGGAATAGGGGACGCTGAAGTCACATACACTAAGATCCTAATCTCAGGGGTTCCGAACAAGAACAACCACCGTTACGCAAAAAACGGCAGGATCAAACACTTCTAGCAACTTATTAGGAAATCGCTATGGGCTTGGTCTGGCTTGGTGGTTGAGGACCACAACACATGAAACGAGGTCCTGGCCACACCAACTACTGCTTTTTTCGCCTCCTGCATTACTGAACCAGTCAACTTGCAAGTCACTTCCAACCTTCCAGCTTCACAATAGTGAACGAATCTTCGGAGATCCAGCCTCTCAGAAGCTGAAACCTGCTTCCCGGCGACTGTTGCTGATCTGTCAGTTCTCCAGCAAACTGTCGTCACTGTCCACAAAGGACAAATGATCTTCGCCGCAATCCGTTCGGGGGATAGGGCATGGGCGCCGGAGTTGTGGGCTTGCTAAAGTCGGATTCGTTTACTTCAATGACAAAAGCTAACAGAAGTGTCCCTCTCCGGCAACTACTGTAATCAGAGCTCTATACCCACACACACACACAGACATATATAATTGCATATATTTAAGTTTGTGTTTGTGTGTGTGCGTGTGTGTTTGTGCGCTGTGCGTTCTCCCCCCCTCCTCCCTCCAATGGTATCCCCCAAATACAAGCAGAGACGGGAGGGAGAGGGTGACAAAACTCCGAAGCTCAAGACCCCAGCCATTCCGCAGCAAACAGAATGGATGGTCGCAGGCCCCACAATTGAGAGAAGGTCTGAACCAAACGGCCAGACCATTCCACGGGCAAGCTCACGGCCCACGCTGTTCCGCAGGGGCGGAGGGGGATGACCATGGGGGCCGCTGGGGCTCCTCAACCATATACATGTGTACACGTGTGTAAATTGTAGTAAACATTGTACGTATATAAACCAATACACACAGATACAAATATATGTATATATATATATTATGTACATATACGCATGCATCCATATACATATACGCATACATTTTTACACACATATATATATATATGTTTAGATTTATCACGGAGCACACGAGGACGGTGTCGGGTGTTTATGACAGAAAGGACATGTCGGAACCTTTGAGTTGGAAGAATCTTTACTCTAAGGATGGGCTCCTGGAAGCAAGAGCCTAATTCCAAGCGCTCTTCATTGTGGCGAGCGACGTGTATTTACCGCTGCAAGCTGCGCTACACTACTGCAGAAGCAGTGGCATCGGGCATTCTTCTTACCCTCTGAAATGCCGAGATCCTTTGCGCAAAAAATGGCAGCCCGGTGCCACCCTCTCGACTCTCTGCAGATCGGCCACGGGCCCAAGGGTTCTTGATTCAGGCTCTGGTCGTTGACATACTACCCGCGAAACCGGAGCAAGTCCTCAAGATTGATAGGCAACTTCCTGATTCTTCTCTCGGTCAGGGTGCACTCAGGGAGGTTGTCAAGAGGAGACTGACCGAGCAGCTACTTCAAGAGGGTGCGTGTGATTTCGGGGACTTGCGAGTCTTGCCCGTCACCGAGCGTTGTCGTCGACGGTGGTGTGATCAATGCAGGCATTGGCACGGTCACCATCAGCAATCTCGACATAACCTTCGTCACCGTCATCACTATCAGCACCAGTGTGGATGCTTCCATAAAGAACCGACGTTGCTGCTAAGAAGTGAAAGCCCCGCCCAGGACCAGACAGCGCGACATCCTGCTTCTCATGAATACTAGGCATCGCATTGCAAGAACCGTTGGTAGCTTCTGCATGGTATCAGATAGCCTGCCGTCCTAAGAAGGCTCAGATGGCTCAAGACAGGCTCTCCTCAAGAACCCCGTTCCCAGAGATTGCCTCGTCGCAAGTAAGCGTTAGTAAGAGCACGTGCCCGCTCTGGAGCAGTGCACTTGCTAACAAAATGCAAGGATCTTCGTTCTCTATCCTGTCCGAGGCTTGCCAATGTGAACAGTTGTTAAGTTCAGAAACACAGAGAGTGTCCTCGTAGTTCTGAGTGCGATCAGGGCCTGACGCGTGTGCTCGGACGAAGCCTCTGTGTATACTGGCCTCTGATCGTAAGTACGCACATATGTATACACGTACACATGTGCACGTGTATCTCTTATGTTTGTGTTGTGTGTGTGTAAATGAAGAAATGAATATACATATGTATATATACATATAAATATATGCATGCTACCCCCCCTGGTTATCTACCCTTGTTCGGTGGAAATAAAAGAATTGGCCTATTGCCCGGGCTGCGACGCACCCCGCATTGAAGACTGTACGAATTAAAGCGGAATGCTTGGTTGATGCGAAGGTGCGGATGGGATTGGGACTGGTACCATGCCCCCCAAAATCCCCAAAGACCACAGGCTAGGCCTTATTGCACGTGGAATTATGTTGAACAAGTGAGGACTTGCATAGTGAAAGGTCTAGTGCCGATTGGTAGAGCTGTACACAGAGCGCCTGTGGAATCATAAAGGAACCTTGGTCTTTGAGGGGGCGGCCCCTCAAAGACCAAGGCTCTCAGGTAAGAAGTGACAGTAGCCTTCATTGCTTCAAGAATGTCCTCACGGTCGGCGCACCTCTTTAATGGCGAGACGCCTTCATCGAACTAACTGGAGGTGGAAAGTGCCCATATGTATATACACCGGTGTACACAGAGCATCAGGTCAGCATTGGTGTGTGCAAGTGGCGACACTGTATACTTGATACTTGATATCCATTTGTATCTGATGCATATGCAAAAGGTCGTGCTTGCGTATGTGTAGCCAACTATGGAATATCTTGCCGTTGCTGCGTTGTTACCACATGGTTACGAAATAACAATGCGTATGTGTGTTAGGCACAGAAACCTTGTATTTCCCAGAGCCAGAAAAAGATTACGATACTCAAACACAAAGTTGCCCACCAAGGATTCATGCACGAAAGGTGTGCCTCGTGGCAATGGGTTATATGCACCCGCGTGTCGAAGATGCACTGGTTTGTCGGCTTCTCTCACGTGTGACCACATATTATGCATTTCCTACCTGTGTGGTTTATTGCATTCAATAGGGCTGTCGGATTGAAGATTGAAGATTGCCCGGGAAAGCTTCCTGTGAGATCTTGAATCTCCAAGCCGAAAGCACTATTGAATTTAATAGGCCTCACGGGTGGATTGAACTGCAACACTCGGGATGCATCGGGACTGCCCTCATTGTCCTAAACACGTGCGCAAGCATGTTCTCCAGCATCTGTTGTACTGCTGTAGCTCTGCACACATACTACTATGGTTCAGAGTATACACATGCACACATACAGAATAGTCTTTTAAACTGATAGATAAGTGAGGGGAGAGGGTCAGGGGCAGAATACACGTGATTTACACCAAAACTGGTGTATGACTGGGGTGACCATATGTATGTACACATATACGTGCATGGTTTTGGACAGACACACCCATCTGTCCGGCCATCCATGCAAGCAGGCATGCACACACAGATAGGCATGTAGAGATGTTCTTATATATATATATATATACATATATAGATAGACATAGACATGTATACATGTATTATGTATATATATATACATACATATACATACATGAATCTGTGATACATGTGTACACATGTCGCTAAGCCTGCATGTTACATACATACATACATACATACATACATAAATACATGCACATGCATACGCACATACACATATACATGCACACATGCATACATGCCTGCATATGCTGCTGGCATTGCCTGGGCATCACAAGGCTCGTGACATCCATCCCGAACTGTGACTGTAGTAGAACCAACCTGCGGGCAGACTTGGTGCATAGCATTGGCTGCGCTCGTAGCCATAATCTACTCAGGGTTTTCAGTCTGAACGTGTAGTACAACGAACTGTTCAATCCCGGGACCACTCATAATTGCAAAGCACCGCCTCTGCTTTGGCTTCCTTCGCGCGGAATCCTTGTGGCTTTCTCCACCGAGCTTCCGTTGTCCTGCGCAATCGGAAGGAGAAGATGAATGTAACACCGAAGCCTCCGTGGGCGTTAAGCCCCTAAACTCTAAACCAATCTCGGGATCCAATAACCTACCTCTGGAAGGGCAGCCGGGCAGAGCGCGCGACCCTTAAACTTCCAATCTTTCTCATCAACCCTGAAATCAAGGTGTCACAGGGCTCAGGGCCAATCCTGAACCGAGACATTCTGTCCATAGATATTTCTGTATTTTATAGTATCTGTTCTATAAACGCTGAAATGACGGAATACTAGATTCTCAAACCTCATTCAAGCCAGAGCATCTCTCCTTACGGCTCAGTTCCGGGGATCGATCTGCCAACAGTCTGACCCAGAGCGCCTGCAAGGACGGCTGGCAAGCCAAGGGGGTGCGGATTGGGGTCAAATACAATAACGGCATATAAGGGCTCTATAAGAGCTTCTATTTGGGCAAGGGTTTAGGTGCGGACTTCGGATTTTACGAGTGCAGGGTTTAGGGTCGGGGGCGGTCGGGTTCAAGATCTCGTGCTTCGGTAAGACGTCGTCAAACTCAAAAGCCTGCAACCTGTCGCCTGAAAGAAACCATGCACTCACCTGCGAAAGTCCCCGACGGCAACACCGAACCCTCCCCGTGAATCTCGCTTGAGTTCCGGCGGTATATAACCCCAAGCCATTCGCCCTTGACCTCAACCTAAGCCCGAATATCCGCCGACCGCCCTAACCCTCGACGCCTCGTTTCAGGGGAGCGGCACTTCGGCATGTACTTCCGAAAGGCCTGACGCCAGACGATGCGCAGCACGAGCTTCTTCTGGGAACTTGTCAAACGGGTGTTTAATGGGTAGGGGGCCGTGGGGTGTTAAGGAGCTGACGGCAAGTCACCAATAGAGGAAGATGTAGTAAGCAGCGTGCTTTCCTTCTCATGGCTCCTAAAATGTTGCTTAAACTAAGTTCCTGAACAAACACCCATTTTGGGGGTCCAGCGGGCTTACAGCCTCGACTCCGATACACAAAAGGGCCCCCAAATTCATCAAGCCGGCAACATGTTAGTCTCGAGTTTCACATTGTCCCGAGCCTGAAGGGGGCTAGATTTCTGGAAGATGGAGCAATTGGCAAAACGAATCGGGAGTCTCTGCAGCTCGGCCTGCTCGCAGCTCCCACAACAAAGGTGCCCCCCCGAAGTGCCAAGGATGAGGCAGACTGGCGCATGATCGAAAGATCCGAAAACAACGGCTGGTATGGCTACAGAGAGCAGAAAGGCACCGAGTTAGCTATATCTGAAACATACAGGCTGTCCTGAACCAAAAAAGTCCTGTGGTGGGTGCATGTAAACGGTCTTTATGGTGGGGCTTGTACCCCACCAGTTCTTGTCCCTGTCCTCTTTGAACTCTCTGGCTGACTGGACGGAAACAGTCCTGTAATGGGAAAGGTGCCTTAACGATCCGGTAATCTTTGAACAAACCGGCCCTGGCAAATGAAACGCCGGAGGCCTGTGCAGCTCCCGCCATATTGAAGCCCCAAATCCTGACCGACACGCCATAACCCGGATCGCAAAGCCCATGCCATAAACCCTCGAAGATAGCACCCTCAACCAAAGGCATCTTGGCTGCGCGAAGTCATCATCACTGAGGATGCGAGCAAGACTTCGGATGTGGATGAGATGCCCTGGAAGATTTCAACGACCTGATCCCTACGTTGAGTGTGGTGATGTGAGTGGAGGAAGAGTGAGTTGGCTTCTATGAAACCCCCGCCCCGTCGCAAGCACAGAAATACGCACAACTAGAAGGTACGAACACGTCGAGCCACCAGACAGCAGTAAATGTATAGTCATCATCATGCGAATATCGAAAACTAACGACATGCTGACAACAAATGGTTTCGCCAACATTGACCCAGGGAGTTCCATTCCATCCAGCGGCCCACAAGAGCTACTGGTAAAGTGCAGGGGCCCCAGACCTTCAGCAAATCGTAAACTAACATAGACATGCGGAAGTATTCTCCGGGATCCTAAACTGCGGTACAACCCGAGCCCCTGCTGCGATGGAAACTGGAACCCCAAAGGCACGGGCCTCCATGCTTGTAAAGGTGCACGTGCGCATGCCGGTGGGGACTCAAACGAGCAAACACAAAAGCGGCAGCAGGATCCTCACATGGCTGTTTTCAGCTTCGGCAGGCAGGACAAGAAGCTGCGGCTCCTGAGCACTGAACCTTTTCGCGGGAGAATGTCGAACTTAGCTCGCCCGCGTATGGAGCGTGTGATGCGAGAAACACCGCTCGGCATTCTGGAAACAACACAATCAGACACTGGAACATTTGGGCTTGGGTGCAGCGCCTAGATGGTACTGTACGGAAAGGTCTGTCAAACAACGGTGTTCGTGCCTTTGGGTTCGAAGTGAAACGTAGGATAGCACATCTTTTCGCTGTCCAAAAAAACATCCTCCTCAGAAACTGTCTCTTCACACCTACTATTACTATATTTATATCCTAGTATGGCACGAACCTAACCGGTTATGACTAAAACGAAATTTCAAACTGCTTGCGGTCCGAACAGGCTATGATAATGAGGATGAGGAGGCTTAGTAGGCTTAGTATCTATCATATATCCGTATAGGTCAGAGCGGCTGTAGCACAGCACTCTCTTCAGCTTCATGACAAAAAACAGGAGAGCAACAATGTGACAAACTCGACAAGAACTCCCGTCAAGGCTTGTCCATCAACATGAACTGAAATCAACAGATCCTGCCGTGCATGCCCGCAACCACAG